GGGTTTTGGGTGTACTTGTGGTTTTTTTTGTGCGATTAATCTTCAAAAACAGTAATTTGTGTTCTCTTCAGAATAGGTCAAAGGCCATGGAGTCTGAACAAGATAATAAGGTGAAAAAGAGCACACAGAATTTAACACCCATGGGCCCAGGGAATCTGATCTGAATCACGCTCATGAGAGAGTTATCCAGGGTAGATTTCTTGCGCTTGCACAGCGTCCTTACAATTGCCTGAGGTGTAAAAGGAGGTTTTCTCTATTTACATGTCGTGTAATTGAAAGGGCATGTATGTGAAAAAACTTTTAAACTTGCAAAAATGTACCTTTAAAACAGGTTAATGAAATGCAAATATACTTTTATTGAGATAAAAAGATAATTTTATGCAAATATGTCCCACTTTTATAACAATCCACCTGCTGACTATATTGATTAAGTGATTTTAGCTGGAATCACGCAGCCTCTCCTGTTTTGGCAGTATGTCAATACTTAAATATTCACTAATCATTAATCAGAAAATTGTGAAACATTTTTACTTGGTGAAAAAAAACAACCATCAAGTGTGATGTTTTACATGCATGCTAACATTTTCTTTAGATGCTCTAAAACTAGAAGTGTTTATGTTGGGGATTTGATTAGAAAAAGAAGCATTTAAAGTTCCTCCTGCCTGCAGGGCTATCTTCCTCAACCAACACAAGGAAGTCATTTTCTAAAGGAGAGGAAAAAAATGCTACATAATTAGAAAAAAATTGAACTTCTTTTTTTTTTTTTACCTCAAATCCCTCGGGGCTTCTGAAACGGTACAACCAACTTTGAAATTTATAGTGCATGATATTAGACAGATCTGCAGCGAACCACACATTAAGATAAACAAGAGCTCACATTTGATGTTCTTAGAAGGGCTCCACTGTTGTGGTTGTTTTGCTTTTGTGATTCCTCTCTTCTGTAAGTCTTTTTCTCCTGACTGCAGACTGGCTGCATAATGCACTTTTAATAGTTTTAACTCTCCTTACTTCATTCCTTCGTCTGCAGCCACTCTGCTTTGATTTAGTGTTTTGATGAGGCCCATGGGAGACTTGTGTTTTCCCTTTTCTTAAGTAACCGCAGAAAAGAGTTTGATTCCATCTTGTGCTCTGGTTCTACACATAGACTTATGCTACATGCTCTGACAGGATTATAAATATCTTGTGGACCTTATGGAAGCTTTTGATGCAGCATATAGGAGAAAAGATATTGACTGAATTTCGCAGAGATGAACTGTTAAGCTGGCTGGAAAATAAAAATAGAAAATAAGGTGGAAAGAAAATCTTTTCTTTTGCGTTGGAAGCACTCTAAGCTTTAAAATCTGAATTCAAGAAAGGAAAACAAAAAAATCTATCTTCTGTAGTGCTGCAACTAATGATTATTTTCCAAATTGATTAATCTGTCAATTATTTTTTCGATTAATTGATTAATAATCGGAGAGCCAAAAGTTCCTTAAAGAAGATGATTTGTGAATTTAAACCAGGTATCACTAAAACTTACTTAAGCACTTAATAGAGCATATCAACAATACATTTTTTTTTTAGTCTTAAATGCCTAAAGTTTATTTTTTATTTTTTTTACCATTTTGATATAATTACTGCTCTAAGTGGGTTGCTCTGTCATCTAAAGGCATGTTAACGATTAATCGATTGCTAAATTAGTTGGCGATTGTTTCAAAAATCAGTTAATCATGATTAATCTCACTCATTGTTTCAGCCCTAATCTTCAGCCTGTATTTCTGGTATTAACGTCAAACTGGTTACTGATTAAAGGCCCACAGCATGATCAATTTTCCTCCATATCACACCGTGGGCATGAGTTTTTTTTTTTTAAACGAACATCCTGTCTCATACTAGACCCCAGGTTTTGTGTTCTCAGAAAGCTTAAACTAATATCATCTGACCAAAGCAAACAGTTTCAGTTGAAAATTCTGGTGATATCATTGTGATGTTAGGAAAAGAGGGATTCTTCCTGTCAGGCCTCAACAAGCAATCAATCAGAACTTGTGTGGTATCCACATGCGGTCTGGAGGCTTTGTGATTCCTTATGCCTCTATTGGCTGTCATTCTCTAACAGAACACTTTGGAGATACTTCTTCCCCTCACCCTCTTTATGATAAATATTGATGTTCAGTCCTATTTGCAACAGTTCAGATTTTAATCTTTACAATACTTCTCTGATTCTGATGAGCAATTTTAGGCAAGTACTTACAGTATCTTCCAAAGCATTCCTACCCTTTAAATGTCTCACAATATGTCACAGTACAGCCAAATGCTTCAGTGGGTTTAGCTAAACCTTAATATGACAAGCCAACAAAATTGACAAAACATTGTGAATAAGCAAAGAAAATTATGCTATAAAACTTTGAAGTTTTTCCTATTTTGTATACCATATTTTCACGACTATAAGGCGCATATAAACTTTTTTTTTTCCCCTCAAAATGTGCGGTGCGCCCTATGTGTTACTGTGGATGTTGTTGAGATCACAATGACAACGTAAAGGGGGAAGTGTGGGCGTGGATTGTGTATAAAAGAACAGGTATCTGCTTTATGCAGAACTCCTCATCTCCTCATTGAGGAGATGATGAAAG